AGTCCACATGTGCAGCTTGCTACAAACTTTTTTAAAGTTTAAGAGTAAAGACGAGGAATAACTCAGTAACCAAGCGTATTTTTTGCCTTTTTCTTTGTTCAGTTATTTAAAAGACCTTCTTTTAATTAAAAAAAAAAAGCTACTATGAAAAAAAAAGAAAATTGTCCTTTTTAAATTTAGTAATGTTAGGGGCCTGTTTCTTCTTTATTTTTTTAATTTATTTAATACTTTGATCACATCTGATGATCATGATGACTCCAGTTGAGTTAACTCATCAGCAGTTACTTCAAAGCACCTCGTGACAGCTCTAGCCTGTTGCTTAGGCAAGACTTGTTCATATTATTAATCTAGAAAGTCTTGGGTTTATAACAGTTACAGACTAAAATAAGCACATAGCGGCAGCATATTTGTAGTGTATATATCTACAGCTAGACAAGTCTTACTTGCAAGAAAATGTCTCCAAAAAGTGTAACTTCACATATTGTTCTGGCAATTATTTCTGGCGGTCTCATTACAAATATTAGTACAGCTATTGCCCATTTATTCTGTGGTATATAGTTTATGTCAATATGTTTTTTAAAAATAAAACTAGCAGAGAATCTAGTTTTCACTTGACTCTACGTGAAGTAATTGCAGCTCCACTGGAAATTATGTATTTATATAGAAAGCATATCTATGTGCATTAAATATTTTGGCCACTAATACAGTTTCAAAAGACACCATTCTTGTTTAGATTGACCACAGGTGCGTTTACTTAAATCAGTTGGTCTACATATACTTGTCTATTATAGCAGTCACACAGTGGATATATTTATCTAAAAATTGAAGTTTGGCTCCTATAGCTGTGAGAAAGACTGGCTTTTTCCGCTTTATTAGTTTTATCTTTAATCACACTTACAGAGAGCCCTTAATGGGTTGTGAGATCCAATAATTGTGGTGGTAAAGTTAATGGGGCATATTGTTATCCTACACATTTTTGTTGCAAATAATTCTATATATTAAATGCATGAAATCTTTGCCATGAGAAATTGAGACAAGAGTTTGAGTGCCTAAAGAAGGTGGGTCCAGCTAGTGGCTGATTGCAGAAATAAAGCTTAAGAACGATGAGAGCAGCTGCCCTTACAGAATTACAAAATTGTAAGATACAACCAATGTCTGAAACACAGCAGTGAATGATTTTGTCTAGCAGTGGCAGATTTGAGGGAATTAAAAGAACATTGTTTAAAAACTGCACATGTAATTATCTTAATTCACCCTGTAAAAGCCAGGAGGTACTAATCTCCATTCAGTATCTTTTGTGTGTGTGACTGACCCTGCCATTCCCAGATCTTTTGATCACCTCTCTGGCCATGGAGACACTGAGCATTGCCTCCACTTTCAATGTAGAAATACAGTACAGAGACATTTTTTATACAGAGTAATAACTGTGGTCTAAAGCATTACCTGTCAGGATAGTTTCTGAGATAGGTTCTTGGCTAAGTGGTCCATCTGGTAGAGACATAAGGTTATTTTCTCACTCAGGCAGTCGCTATCCTTCTGAATTTATGCTACAGGAACCACTTGCAAGCTGTGTTACCTACTGTGCCCCTCGCTGTATCCTTTGACGACCATCCGTCTCTCTCACAGGGTGTTTCCAGTGGTGGGGCAGTAAGGAGAATTTGCTGGGGCAGGAGCTTTTCTTACAACACAGCAAACGGGGCACTGCGAGAAAGGCACACGTCATCACAATATTCCAATTCCTCTGTTCCAAGGAAATTCTGCCAGCTCAAGGGGCAGTAGATTATCTTGATTTAAACCCTGAATTTGCTCTCTGTGTCCTGTAATGTTTAAAGAATTGAAGAAACTGCACTGCTCATAAAGCAACACGTACTATGCTTTTGAACAGTACTGATTGTCAATAAAATGTAATTTAGCTAAAACAAAAGTACTGATTGACAGTAAAATACAATTTAGCTAAAACAAAATGCATATTTCTGATCAAACTTCCACAGCAGCAGAGGCAGTAGAAGCGATCCAGAAAATGCTAATGTTATTAAAACTGCGGTTTCAATTATATTTTTTAGATCTAAACTCTCGTGTTCAAACTTTCAAGCAGAATGGCAGCATGAGCAGTAAGCACTTGTAAAGTTGTTATCAGCTGAAAGCTGTGTTGAAGAATGGTGGCTAGGCATGTTTCTGCTACTGTGCTTCTACCAAACATGCACTCCTACCCACGCTGAAATCTGTGCACCAAACCTGGTGTGAAAAAGGTTGCCACAGAAACCCTCCTGTGTATGTTGAGTACCTTCCTCTGTCATTTGTATACAGAATGGCAGAAATGTGTCTTTTAACAGCCAGAGCATCCACCCCCAGGATGTAAGCAGTTCCATGGGATATGATGCAACTTCTTTCAGAAGATAAAGATGGAACTAAATGTAGCATGTAATTGTTTAGATTGAGACTGGAGGAAAAATGGTGCCGTTCAATGAAATGTACAGGAAACATTTGGGAGACCAGAATACAACTTTTGGGATTGCTAAAGAAAAAGAGAAGCAACACCAATGCAAATTTTCTTAATTTTCATTGGAATTTTGAATTTCCAACAACCTCAAGGTGTTAGTTTTGTACTTTACCAAAGTGCCATATAAAGAGCGAGAGACATAGCAGGAGGTTTGGGGTTTAATGCAACTCCCAGAGTTAGCTCAAATCCAAGCGTGCAATGTATACAGAGAAAAAATTGTTCACACAGTCTTACTTAAAGCTGCTTAACAGCTTAAAATGATAAAAAGTCCTTAACACAATTTAAGAACTTAAACCACTTAAGTGTTCGAAGCTGCCTGGAAGTTTGAAGAGTTTTGGCAGAGATGGGATAGTCACCCCTGCTGAGCTGCAGCCCTAGGGACAGGAGCTGGTGGATTCCGGCACAGGGGCCCATTTGGATCCAAATTTGGGAGGCCTGGAGGTGACATGAGGGAGAAGATGGAAGAGTTTTCTATGGATTTTTGTGTATTTATATGTCTGGGTCGCTTTGCTTTAAAGTGTTGCAGGGAATCTTACAAGAATATGAGGTGTAAGCAGTGGCATCCCCCCAGTGAAGCAGGGAAGACGGTGGCAGAAAAATATTGTCTATGACAAGTCTTGAGCTGTGGAAAACAGTTTCAGTTCATGGGCCAAGGAAAGGCTCTTCTGGAGCACTGGGAAGAAAGCTTCTGCAAGAGTTCCAAGGCAGAATGTTTTGCTTTTGTGGCTTCAGGTGTTGGAGGCAGATGGGAGGTGGCATGTGTGGGTCTTGCAGATGTTTGAGAAGTTTGGGGTTTTGTGTGTTTTTTTTCCTGAAATATTGTTTTGGGGAAAAAGAAATAAAGGATGGGAAGCAGAGAGAGGATTGCTTTAGTTTGATCTCAAACAGCATTAATCAGTTGGTTATGTTAGAAGCATGTTGTTATTATGTGAATTTATACGTTTATAAAGCACAAAATAAACCATTAATTGTGAGACAAATAATTCTGTGATTCAGTGAGATCCAGTCTGGTGCCAGCTGCTGCACGTGGTGATCAGTGGTTGAGTATGTGTGTGTGTGTATCTGTGTGTGTGTGTGTGTATGCTCAGGTGAACAAGATGATGGCACTGCACAGAAGCCAGACTTGAGGACAAAGGAATGAAGGCTCAGGAATCCCAGAATCCCAGAATGTTAGGATTTGGAAGGGATCTCAAAAGATCATCTAGTCCAACCCACTGCCAGAGCAGGATCACCTACAGCAGGTCACACAGGAACGTGTCCAGGTGGGTTTTGAAAGTCTCCAAAGAAGAAGACTCCACACCCTGGGCAGCCTGTGCCAGGACTCTGTCACCCTCACAGTGAAAAAGTTTTTTCTAATATTTTTATGGAACCTCCTATGTTCCAGCTTGTACCCATTTCCCCTTGTCCTGTCATTGGACACCGCTGAAAAGAGCCTGACTCCATCCTCCTGACACTTCCCCTTGACATATTTATAAACATTTATGAGGTCACCCCTCAGCCTCCTCCAAGCTGAAGAGACCCAGCTCCTTCAGCCTTTCCTCATCTGGGAGATGTTCCACTCCCTTCATCATCTCTGTGGCTCTGTGCTGGACTCTCTCCAGCAGTTCCCTGTCTCTCTTGAGCTGAGGGGCCCAGAACTGGACACAAGATTCCACATGTGGCCTCACCAGGGCAGAGTAGAGGGGCAGGAGGACCTCTCTCGAATGGAAATAAAGGCGGAAGATGGCTAGGATGTTTCTTCTGATGGCAGTGATGCCACTTTAAATGTTGTGAAACTTGGCCTGGTTTTCGTTGATGCAGACAGTGATTTACACCTTTCTGTGTAGAAAAGCCTGTAAAACAGGGGTGAATTACATTCTGTACAATTTGAAAATAAATGGTGCATTCACAGCCACTCATGTTGAGGCCCATTTACACTTCCAGAGTGGAATGATGAGTAAATGAAAGTTGGGCCTGTGTGCGAATGAAAAATGCTTGTTTTACCAGAGACTGTGAAAAGAGAGAGAGTGAGCGAGACTTAGTGGAAATTGGAAGCTAAGACTTTTATTTGTTTGTTTAAAACAGTCATATTGATTTGGAGCTAGATGGAGTACAGGTGTAACTGCAAACAAATTCTCTGGAATTCTGCAAGGTATTTCTGGTGATGCTGATGAGGCTGGAAATTTATATTTATAATCTGAGTTTTTCCTGTGCTGGAGTAAATCTTTATTGCAGTACATTCTTGTGCAAACTTGGCATCGTAATATTTAATATTAATGTTATCTGTCAAAAAAAATCTTTACTGGAGTGAAAAAAAGCTCAAGTATGATTAAACTCATAAGTTCTCAACACAATTAAATTACTCCTTGGTTTTCTTTTATGATGAGGAAAGAGATATGAAAATGTTACTTAGTGAGGGTAAGTGTTTTCTGAGTAATGACACAGAAAGAAGCCATTTAATGAATGAAATCTTGATAATGTACTATGTAATACTAATATCTCAATATCACTTGAATTGCAGAACATTTCAGGATCTGTCCAAACAAATGGATATATCTTATGGTACAGTCAGGGATTCAGCAGTGTATGAATACTTTAAAGCAAAAGGGACCAATCCTTTGGAGCAGGATAACACATTTGCTGAGCTGTGGCGGACTATCAGTAAGAATAATGGGGCAGATAATTGTGTATCGAACCCTTCCGAAGGCATCAGGAAGGTAAGACTGGATCACAGGGGTTTTAATGTAATTTTTGTGCCGTATCAATGTTGTTTGCATGGAGTTAATAATGCTGCATTACAGAAAAGCAATTACATAGTTATTTCAGAAAAACTCACATCTGTCTAAATTTCCTTTTAGTAACTCAGTGGCAGATAAGAATCATATTTTGGGCTCATGGTTTTGAATTAAGTACCTTAGCTCTGCCTAAGTCTTCAGTATATAAGTCCTTCTTTGGGTCTGAGCATAAGGTTTCTCAGTTTCTTGGGAACTCCAGAAACACCATTTGAATGTCATTCTTTACATTATTCAGGTACTAACTCTTGTCCTTTTCTCATTTGAAGAGGGTGGTTTTTTTGTGAGTTGGCGGACTGGATTTACTGGAAACATGAGTAAGCAGCAAGGGATTCGCTGAACTCATTTCTCTTAGAACAGAAATTTAGCGCAAGATTTTCTTTGTTTATTCTAAACTTTAAAAAATGCAAATTCAAATGTCACTGTGCTTTGACCTAACTTTCATTTCTCTCAGAAACAGAGATATTAAGTACTTTTTTATGCCCCGTAGCATTTAAAGTCAATAATAAAACAGTTTGGCTTAAAAAAAGCACAAGCTATTTTACTTCTTTTTTTTGTGATTTTTTTTTTTACAGTTCTTAGTGAGTGGGTGCTCTTTAGCTGTGAGATTGTAAATACTCTGTAAGCCTACTGCATGCTACTATTTGTGATTTGTCTAGGCCAGAAATGTAACTAGATTGGCAGGCAGTTTAGAATACCAATTATATTGTTTGTATGGAGCTGGCAGCTCCATCCTAACTATGTGATAATAACTTTTCATGTTGTTTTATTTCAATATTGTAGGGTGATTTTTATATAACTTGATCAGCTCATTCAATTAACATCAACAATAACAAGATTAACTTCAGTCCCCAAAGCTGACCAAGGCTGCTATTTGATTAGACACCTACATAAAATCGGCTTAATGTTTAATAACGTTGTCAACTAAACCGTTGTGTTTATAGTTTAAATGTTGTTTTTCCTAGCTCATTGAGCTCTTCGAGTAAACAGACAAGTTTTCTGTGTTAAGTATTATGGCTAGAAATTTTGTTTTTTCTAAAGGAGAGTTGATGTCAGCCAAGGAAATGGGACTTTCCATCCATAAACACGTAGTGCTGCCTGAAAGAGATGTAAATGTGCTTTAAGAATGTATTTTATAGAAAATGGGAAATCTAAATCTCTCTAGCATGAAAAAACATTTTTCTGAATGAGGGCTTGCCTGACAAAATGCAAAAAAAATCACTGCTACCCTCTCTCCCCTCCTCCCCCTTTCCATTTTCTTCAGACAGCCTCACAGTTCAGCTGCAGTTACAGACAGAGCAGTGCTGCTCCCATGCAAAGCAGGGGAGTGCTGCTTATTTCTGGTACAGGCAGGTATTTCAGATTTTTATCTCTGTTCTATTTACCTCTCTCAGTTTCCCAGAGATATTCCTCCTCCCTTTGACTGCCTAAAACTAAAAGGATAATAGCGGAAAAAAGTCCTGAGCGCTTTTGGTTGCCATGGCAGAGGTCTCTTTTCAGATACATCACAGACTCTGTAGCCACAGTGACCAACTCCCATTGTCAAGGCAGAGCTTCTGCAACACCGACAGAGCTACAGAAAGGGCATTAATGCACTGCAAAGTCACGTGAGCAACAGAAGGATGTTTTGGAGCCAGGGAAGGGGCAAGTTGCTTTTGTCATACTCCCAAGGTAGTTGAAAGCCAACAACAGATGAGAATTAACTAAAGCTGTCGTATGGAAAGTTTCTTTCTAGGTCAAGGTAGAGCCAGGATCCCCAAGAGGCATGCAGAGGGTAGTTCCTGCTGTCTTATCCCAGGTGGACATTGGTACTGGGATTGCACACATTTCTAAGCTATTTGTAAATCTCAGCAAGCTGTTTGCATAATACCCACTGGCAATCAGTTATTCAAGGTAATCATTCGTTACCACAACATATGTAATAGCCTGTGGCTTTTTTCATAGTGGGCAGCCATTTTTGCCTGTAAGGAATGAGGTTATGTGATCCCTATCTAATCCCATATATATCTTTATATACATACATACATGGGAGAATTAAACAGTTATTGTTGTATTTTTTAAAAGCTTTGCTTTTGTAGAGACTGTTTGTTGCCCTGTCCAATCAATTTGTTGCCAAAATTTCCTTGAATCCTTTCTTTTCTTCCTGTGCATCACTTTTGATGAAAACTGATCAAAACCAAGTACAGTACAAAGTGCGAATGTATTATTGATTTAGACAATGACACAGGAAGAATATTACTTCCCTTTTTGGGTTCCTTCAAAAAGTTTCTCTCCTTTAAAGAACATGAAACATTAAATGAGACTTTTTCTTGTTGAACAGTCACCCCTGTTCATTTTTATTTTGTGGGTAAAAGTAATTTAAAAGTTCAATGGATGGGATTTTTTCAAAAGTATTTTTTCCAATAATTTGTTGTCCACGATGAATTGCATATTGTGAATTATGCTTGCTCATCCATATGTTTTCATGGGTCCTCATAAATTTCTCCATTTCTTGACCCATCAGCCTTTGGATTAAAAGCAAATGCTTCCTTAAAGCCTGAATATATTACATGCTGTAGTGGCTCCTTAGTTATAATAATTTTAAAATAATTTAATCAGGATTAAATGGCATGTTTTCTTTCTAGTAAAACTGTGTTGCTTCTCTTAAAGCACTTTTTTAATAGATAGCAAATGTTATCCAGTCATGTTTTTGAACTGTTCCACTAATGCCAATGTAAAGGTCACTTTTTGATATTTCTATGATACAAGCCATATAATGGGATCAGCTACAGGGACACTCTGTTCTGGCTGAAGATTAATGACGAATGTTGCATTATTCTGGCACTTTTGTCTTTAGTGTGGTAGCTTCTTTGTAAGGTTCAGATAAATCACAGACATGGCAGTGATTATTCTGAAATTCATCTTTTTGCAAGTTATTATTATTTCTTGCCATGCTTTCTTTGAAAAACCATTTTACCAGTCAATTTTGATCATTTTACTATCAGTAAGCTAGAATTCTTTGAATAATATTCTTCCATCTCCCTCCATGTTGAAAAGTGATATTATGAGGTTGCTTACTCCTTTTCTCAAGTATTAGCATTTTCTTTATGGTCCTTCTTATATGTAGGAAGCAATCTTCCTTGGCCTTTTAATTTTTTATGATTGTGAAGCAGAAATGTTTTCAATATAAGTTTTGCCTAGAGGGTTCTTTTTTCTTAAATCTGTTTTCTTAAACCTCTTCAACCAAAGATAAATCTGGTGTCTTTGGTGTAAACCACCATATTAGTTCCACCTAGGTGGAATAAATGAGTGCTGCTTTGGCTGAATTTCTGTTAAAGGGGCTTTTGAAAGTTTAACTGAGCTATTTTTGTTTTGCTCTGTAGTACGCCTGCATGCTGAGAGTCTCAATAAGGCCAAAGCAAAGGAGAAAAGTATGAAAGCCAATTGAAAGTCTGAAGTGTAAATTTTAGCTTATTATTCCATGTTTCATTTCAATCATTCTTTGTTCAAGCTATCTTACCTATTCTCAGCTGGTATTTGCCACATGCCTTTTTACCATCTCTCTCTCTATTATTTTTGCAATGATATCTTATCACTAGAACATTTTTATTCTATTTCCAGCCCTAAAAAACATACAATGCAGGCTTTAGATGGCTGAGCTGTGAATGCAAGAGCCTGAGGGTATGGATCTTTGCTGTATTGTGATTAGGACTTGGTTGCATGCGTAGGTACATCTATGCCATATGCAACTATGGAGTCTAGATAGGTTTCCTGCTCCTGTATCCCATGGGTCAGTGCCAGATGTTTCCTGTAATTCTGAAGTCTTCCTACCTCCAGTAGCCCTCTGGCTGGAAGCAAAGGAGTGTGCACATGAGCATGCATGCCTTTTTTCATATGATAAAAATGAAAAGCTTAAACTCCAAATGAAAAGCTTTGGTTTGATTTTTGGTTGAAAATAAGTGCCAAATGGATTTTATTTGGCTTTTACTGCTTGCCTAGTGAAGGTATATAAAAAGCAAACATAAATACACAAGTATGTGTGTAGTCGTGTGTCATATACATACGTTTTTCAAAGTTTTTCAGTTTTTCTTTAAGTTGAACAAATGCTAATACTGCTTAGCTTTCACAGTAGTTGTTAACAGGAATGTGAAGGATGCTGAATTTAGACAGCAGGTCAACATTTGGTCATGGAGAAGCTTTCTGTCCAGTGAACACATTAATAGTAAGAGGACTCCACTCCTAAGAGAAGAAAATGAGGCAAATGGAAGTTTGGGAAGAGACTAATCTTCCTTTTGGAAAAAAGAGATCTTTGGAGGGTCTGGTTTTGGCAATCAGAGAGGGAAAAGAGTCTTACATCCAATATTTCTGGGAATCGAGAAGTAAGCGTAACTAAGAATTGAAACTTAGATTCCTGTAACATGATCAGTCTGTCAGAGAAGTAATGCTCTGCAGATGCGATAGCACTAGATATAGTGATTTATCTCATAAAAAATCTAAAATTGATGTGAAGAGACCTGGTAAACTTTGTTCTTGATGACTTACAGTTGTAGGACACAGCTTAGGATAGCAACGTCGCAAATGCAAGAGTAGACCTTTTCAAAAGATCTGCTGTCCAACATTGGAAATTAGTGTATAAAGCTCTTTCTATATAAAATAAGATACAGAAAAACGAGGCTTGAAAAGTAGAATCAATAATGTGATTTTTCTCTAGCCATTGTCTTATAATTGAAATCAAATATTTGAGGAGGACTGCGATCCTCAAGTATTACTAAGGAAAAGATGAAGGACATACATCATGTTGTCAGCATTCTTTTCTAAATTGTAAGTTTGAAAAGATGATTTACAGAGCAATTTTGAAACAACCAAAAGTATAGCTCTTTAAAACAAAAAAACATACATACAAAATATTAACCAGAGATATGCAAGACATGTTAGCAGAGTGATTTAGGCCATATCTTTTCTAAGTCTTCTCTTTCAGCACATCTGCCAGGCAAGTTTTTGTTCTATAATCACAGGGATTTTCAATAAATTCTGTGTACTGTAAAAAGTGCTGTTCTTTTCTGCCCCATGAGTACATGTGTAAACCTGGGCAGCTTTCTATCATAGGTAGCAAAAGCCTGAGTACTATTTACCATAGAACACAACCTAAGAAGTGCAAAAACAGGGCTTTCTATGGTCCTGCTCTGCCAGGAACACCAGTGGGACTGATATCTGTGGCCTGTTATCCCTAACCAGGTAGGAGGCCTGTCAGCACCATCGCAGGTGTGAAAGCATAAAATGTGAATTGTTGAAGCCATCGGAGGAAGAGCAGAGGGCAAGATGCAGAGATTTGCCACTAACAACCCAGTTAGTTATGAGTACGTGATAATTCAGAAAGTACGTTTGTGGAGCACTTTTTAAGCTTCCAAGAATGTAGGTTCCTGGCTGAGTATGGGTGAGACGCCTTGAGGAATCACTCCTTTGCCCTCCTTTAATTTTTTACGCATCCTTATGTTGATACGTTACAAAGCCTTTTCTGGGTGTCGCATATAAAGAGTGATTTATTTGTTCTTTCCTGCTTCATGCCACCATTACCAGTTTAGGCAGACAGCCAGGTATACTGCTAAAATGCAGATGTGAAAGTCTTGTTCTGATCTGGTTTCATATAGTGACATTCAAGTGAGAGATGTTTTTAATGAACACGGTAGTTTAATAAGTTGTGTCAGCTAAATCAATGTGTGATTTTAACAGCAGAGTCCTGTAGCTCCTAATTGAATAATTCTTATAAGGCCCATACTGCAGTTTACATTTTAATGATGTTTTGTATTAGTATAACAATAGTTGTCTGAGGCTATATGAATTAATTATTGCTACTCTGAACTGACCAGAGAGGTGGGAAAGCAGAAACTGGGGACAAATCCACAATGGTGACATGCCCTTAACAAAAAATTATTTTCAAAATAGTCAGCACAGGCTCATTTAAATCTTACCAGAGAGGAAGGATATAATATTTTTACTCTGGTTTAACTCAGAAGCAAATGAATTTGAGGATCTTTCATTGCCTCAATGCAGATGAAAGAGAAGCGGGGGAAGAAAGTGGATTGTGGCAGGTAGCTTACAGAAAATCCAGACAACATACTTTTAATCTTTGTTTCCCTGGATTCTACCCACTAGAGGATAACTCACCCATTTAATTTATTTTCATGTTTAAACAGCTGTCAGGGGCTTCAGAAAGCTAAGGTTTATATCAAAGCGCGGTGAAATAAAATTAGCTTAATTGCTCAACTGAGGAATCCAATATAACAAAACACCTAAGAGGGTCTTACAGGCTTACAGGTGAATTCAAAACTGAACTTACAAGAAAATGGAAGATATGCAAAAGTATGAGCTAATTCCATGTCAGAGCTGCAGCCATTTGCTAGGGGAGCTTGGTGATTCAGTTCCCACAAAGAAATATATGCAGGATTTTAGTTCCCTGCCTTTCTGTGTTCCGACCTAAAGAATCACCTGAAGGTTGTTTTTTGTGGTTTTTTTTTCTTTTTTTTTAAAAAAAAAAGTAGTCCTGGAAGCCTACATTCATGACTACTCATTTATTTGCATTAGACGTTCCAGCCAATCTGTTCCATTGTGCTCTGTATGTTCACTAGAGACTTAAAAACATACTAGTTAAATGTATTAGGAAACCAATGATTAGTTTAACTAAACAAAATGATGACTTTTTTCTTCACTGAATCCCTATCCAGAGATGTTTCCTACATCTTATGTTAAGTAAGGTGATTTACATTCATCATATGCACTGTATTCAGGAAGTGATTTGAATCCCAATTAAGACTGGCATTTAAGGACGTCTTCATGGGTGTGTACTAAAATAAAACAATGTTTGTCTCAAAACTGAGGTAATAGGAGATGCTGGTGATTCTCCTTACCTATGAAAAAAAAGAGGGAACTCTTTAAGATCACAGGATGTGTTTTGTTACAGGACTAACATAGTTCTCGGAAGGGTCTTTGTTTATTTACACATTTATATGAGAAAACTTGCGTTTTGGTGATGGTGATGAATAGGAAGCACCTCTTAGTGCTCATGTTGTACCTGTCTAGTTACATGAATCTATGGAACCAGTCACACTCCATGTCTCCTAAAAAACATACATCAAATTCCATCAGCTAAAGCAATAGCTTTCATTTATAATTAATAACCTGTTATGTAAGTCTTGGCTATACTTACAGTTGGGTATGTTATCCTAGATATTCCTATTAAAAATGGAAGACATCATAGAGAGGTTTGAAGTAGATGAAGTGCAGCTGGGAGGGAACAGCATTCGAAATGTACTAAGATGCTGGAGGTCTGCAGATAAACCGTGACCTAATGAAATACCAACACTGACTAAGGACAGACTCAGGTTTTGATTTGCATGGGTTTTGTCCCACCTAAAAATGTAGTTTGGTTTAGATTGTGTTGTGTTTGTGCGTTATTTACAGGCAAAAAAAGGAAACTATGCTTTCCTGTGGGATGTGACGGTGGTGGAATATGCTGCACTGACAGATGATGAATGCTCCGTGACAGTCATTGGGAACAGCATCAGCAGCAAAGGATACGGGATAGCTCTCCAGCATGGAAGCCCCTACAGAGACCTTTTCTCCCAGAGGTAAACTGAAACACAACTTGTTTTAAACGACTCCTCTCTACAATCAGCAACTGTTTGTGATTCACATTAATTTTGGCAATTATTGAATAAAAGACAATGAATAAGTAACAGCAGAGAGGCTGTGAGTTCAGGCTTCACCAGAGCTGCTCCTTCTGCTCCGTGTGCATCTGCTTAGGGAGAAGGGGACTGGAGGTCCTTTTCCTGCCAGAGGCAGAAAAACGACTGATCTCCTCAGAGCTTTATATGAGCCAGGGTAGAGATTGAAGAGAGATCTTTGAGTCATGCTACATTTTGCAGGCGCTGAAGCAATGTGTTGCTCCCTACAGCAAGCAAGTAATAATGCCCTGGTTTATCCTTTAGGGTGGAGAGACAGGTCGAAGACTCACAACAGTACAGGAAAACAAGAACTGCTGAGTGTTGCATGGGATTGCCAAGACTATGAGACTATAAGGCTATGCCATTTAGTGATCTCTGAGCTAGGAGTATTGTTTTCATGTGAATGCGTACACTGAAATGAAGACATGCGGTTGCGCAGGCATTTGTGGGCTTAGCAGAAGGTGAGCGGGTGCTCTGCTCCAGGCAGGGAGCTGAAGCAAGATTTTCTTATAAAAAGGAGTAAAACTCCATCTGTGTAACCAGAGACAAGGCTGCCTCAAGAGAAAAGATTGTTAGTAAACAGCTAAAATAGTTAATCAAACCAAATCCAAAATGAATCATTCATGGTGAGAAGGGACACTTCACAAGAGACAAAACAATGATTAATTAGCAACTGTTAGCACAGTAATTTGGGCATGAAGTAACAGCACTGAAGTAAAATCCTTTTGAATAAACTACATTTAGTAAATGAGTTGGTTGCTGCTTAAAGAGATTTGTATTAAGTGGTGCACAAATAGTAGCATGTTTAGTCTCACAACGATTTTGAAATCATTGTGGGAGAGCAGCAGTGGAGTGGGTTGAGTATTTCACTAGTGGGAGCAGCTGCTGCAGCTGAATGTAGCCAGACCAGCCATGACTAACTGGAATATGGTGATTTCCCTTGGAAATGCTTCTTGCATTGGATTTCTTGACAGTCTCTTCTTTTTCTAAAGTCACCCAGTGGAGTTTACCTTCTGCTGTGAGTAGAAATATATCCTGGTATAATGAAGTTTTAAATGAGGAATACTACATAATACATGGTGATGGTGGAATCGAGTTTTGAATTGTGGGACAGTAGATTTACGAGTAATGTGATTTACCAAAAAGACCAAAAATTGTGGAAAATAATACTTGTCTTTCAAAATTTCTGCAGGATCCTAGAGTTGCAAGAAAGTGGAGATTTGGATGTTCTTAAACAGAAATGGTGGCCACGGATGGGACGTTGTGACCTGAATAGCCATACCAATGCACAGACAGATGGAAAGGCACTCAAGCTTCACAGTTTTGCAGGCGTTTTCTGCATTTTAGCAATAGGCCTTCTTCTTGCATGCTTGGTGGCAGCACTGGAGTTGTGGTGGAACAGCAACCGTTGTCATCAAGAAACACCGAAAGAGGTCCATAACTTTTATTCTTATCACAATTAAAAGTAGAAAGCACAAAAGCAAGAGAGAGCAAGTGGAAGTTGTGGGATTTTAGGTGCTCTCATACAATAAATTTGATTTATTTTGATTTGCCATACTAAGCTTTGCATATAGCTTTTTGGGTGGTTGTTTCTAAACAAATAAAAAAACAAACAAACGTGTCTTTTGTGCACATGGAAGGTGCCAAACTGACAGCCCTGGAGACTAAATTCCTCTATTTGTTTATAGAGCAGATACAGCATGGGCAGCAGCAGTGCAAACTTCCCCACATTGCCCCACCAATGTGCCTCAACCCTGACCTGGAGAGATCACCTTTAGGGGTAAGAGAGTAGTTCAGAAACATGCCCTCAACCTCTCTGCTGTGAGTGACGGGGAGGCCAGTCACGGGCACCCAGTTGTGCCATTGGTGGTAATGTTTTCTCTGATCTGAGACCCCATCCATCAGCTGTGAGAACCATGTCCATCCTGTGCAGGCTGTGCAGCTGCCAGCCAGCTGGTAGCTGTTTTATTCCATGGCTGACCTAGGCTGAGTTTGAAGAGGTACACGAGCAATTAAAAACAAACCAGCTAGTTATTAACCGAATAAGCCATGTTGCCATGACATTATTTAAATGATTCCTTTCTTTTGAAATCGATTTTATTTCTAAAAATAGGAGCCTCCTGAGTAAACCAAACTTTATATGACATTTTACCTAGGAAAATACAGCTGAGAATTTCTTGGTGTATAAGTTTTCTTGCACAGCAGTGAGTAGCATTTAGCAATGCTATGATAGAATAACCGGTCCATACTTGGATCTGTCTCGCATGAAGCCTGCATTTGTTTACATAGATTAAATGTTTAACAAACTAACCTCCTGTAATTTTGGAGACTCTGAGGCATTTCTAGGTGCTTTCATCTTGGAACAGATGTTTGTTACAAGCAAATAACAGCAGCGAGCTGCACTACAGCTGGAAAATAGTACATAGCCCATCAATTCCAATCTATGTTTCTAAGTTGCCAGGAGTACTGCACTAATTGACATACCTATCACCTGCAAGCAATTCTGGCAAATGGGATCTGAAGATATATGTTGCAGTCTGTAATGTTGTGAAATATTTATCAGTAAGATTTCATTCTCCTGAATTCTTGCTTCTCCCATTTGAATTCATCCATCAAGTGCTCGGTGATAAACATCTGTACAGGTTTGTGGGACAAAGCTGCAAAGTCACTTGCCTGTGGCTCCACAGTGCACAACAGTGACAGGGAAATTTTGGTAAAAGGGCTTCCTCCACTTTGCACAATGCAGCACTCTAAAAGCAGGCACAGGGAGAGCACAAATAGGTACTCTTGCTTATAACAAAGCTTTCACATGAAGAGAAGTGCATAGTTAATTGTTCTTTGGTAAACACTACAGCATTTGGTTCTGCTGCTTTGTAGAAGTCACTCCCCTGTAACCCCAAAGGCCTCACCCCACAGCAGAATTGCCAAGGCCTAAACCTGAGCAGAAGATGGTTGTTCATTGCCTGCTCTGAAAGCCTGGCAGGGCAAGGGGCAGGGATGGTGTCTGAAGTGTCCTCACACTGCGTGTGCACAAGCATTTTTCTTGCCCTGGTCCACAGTGCGTTCCCCCTCTATGCTCAGGGACTTGCCTTTGTGTATCTTTGTAGAGTGAGATGAGAATGTGCCCCCAAGGCAGTTTCACATAGGTCAGGTGAAGTAATCAGTCTTTTGTTGCAAGGAGTTTTAAATACTCAGTTTCCATCTCTAACAGAGGTTCTGTCTTCCTGAGTTTAAATGTTTTCTTTTTGCCCATCCTCTTGATCTCTCTTTTTCTAACTATAAGAAAGATTATTATAGATCCCTGCCTGCCCCATCCCATCTTTTCTCCCCTTCCCATCCCTCTCCTTCTCCTCCCCTTTCCCTCCAGTGCACTCTCAATTAGCGTTGCTCCATACATCCCCTTCTGCAGTTTCTGTGGCAAAACATAGAATACTTGTAAGCTTCCATTTTTTAAAGTATGCTGAGGTTACCTGTACCGTGAACCTGTACTTGGACAGATTGGCTGTGTGGGGGACTGGGGCTGGCTCTGCACTCAGAGCACAGCTGGTCCAGGTTAAGGGAGGCAAATTGCAAACAGGCTTAGAACAGGTCGGTGATGTGGGTGCTACTGAGAGAGAGGGAACAGAGTCAGCGGGAGCCCTGGCACAAGAAGGTGTGAAGATTGAATGTGAAAGTGCATGTCCCGAGGAGAGGGCACAGGGATGAGGGTTCAGAGGCTGAGCCGGCCAGGAGGAAAGCGTAAGGAGGGTACACGAGGCAGGCAGGGCGGAACATGAGGAGTCCACAAAAAGGACAACTGGATGCAATGAGGGCTGGGTGACTCGAAGCACGTTTAGATCCAGTTGGAGTGGCCGGAGGGATGGGCAGGGTCCTCAGGGATCCTTGTTTGGACCCTTGACACAGCCACATCGTTTTTACAACCTAAACCCTATTTCCACCGAGAACGCTCACGGATCGGGCCCTATTACATGTGAACTAACACACCAAAAGCTGTCCTGGGGGGGCTGGACCCCATAACACCACTGTGGGTATGTGACCAGCTCGGCCACGGGTAATGGTGTCCGGGCCCGTAGGGGCAGCATGGGGGCACCAGTCACAGAGACTGCAACTCAGGTAAATTAGCATGCAAATGTATCATATAATTCTTGGGAGATAGTGGGCAGCAATGTTTTCTTTATCTACTACTAGTGAGGAGGGATTGAAGCGGGATTGCTGATGGCTGCTGTAATTAAGATAGCAAATCAAGGAGAGGTGGTGTGGATTGGTTAAGATTTTAAGAGAACGTATTTTAAGAGAACCGAGGTTCAAAACTTTGGAAAGGACGGAATTCAGAATGAGGGAAGCATTGAGTCCCAGGAACTCAGCTACTTGAGCCAGGAACAGTGGCTGAGCATTGCTACAGGGACCAAAAGCAAAAAGCAGATTTGATCTCCAGATAGAGCGTATTCGGGATATTTCGTTTCTGTCACTGTGTATTATTCAGCATTTCTACAGCAATAGTCATAATAGAGCTGCAACATGCATAGCATATACAGACCATTAAAATCTGCCTCTTGCCTGCACCTGATACTCCCGCCAAGTTGTTAGTTCAGTAACAGCTGCAAACTTAAGTCGTGCTGCTGATTTTCCTCTACTTTTTGGAAGGCTTTGGCAAAACACTACTGTTGTAATATCACTTGAAAGCTGTGTGAACTGGACTGTCTCCTAGCCATTTTATTCTGTGAAGTGCAGATCTCATGGAGGGTCACAGAAGGGGCTGATTTTCTTGCAGCCTGTGGGGTCACCTCATGAGGCAAAGGACAAGGAGGCAGTGTTTTGCTTCTGTGACTCTGACCCTGTTAGGAACTTTATAAATCCATTGTAGAAAATTACAGTGGATTCAGAACTGAATGAGGAGTTGTCATAACTCGGGGAGTTATGTTGTGTAACATTTCGTCTTTGGTTTGACCCACTTGGTAGGCTGTGTCATGCCACCAACTGCCAACCCAAAAAAATGAGGGATGTTGGGAAGGTGGATGCACAGCTGCTCAGACTGATTTATGACAGGGTTGGGCAGCGATGCAGCTTGCTGGAGAGGGATAGAAAAGATTTTTTTAGAGACTGCCATTTTGTATGTCAAAGGTCTGTGAAATCTGTGGCTGGAAGAATGTGCACAACCTTCATTAGCATCAGAGAAATGTTTTCAGCTGGCATTAAAGTGTTGATATTTTCCAGTTTGTTGTCTTTTCCTCTTCCACTTTGCATTCCTTTGGCTTGTGGAGGTTAGCCTGAGCCAATACATGGGGATGTTCAAGGACTCAGATATCTGCATAGTATAAGTCATAACTCTTAATTGGGTATGAAAAATGTGATGTTGACTATGTAGCTGGGAGGAACAGGAAGCCTGTCTTTTGAAACCTGACAGCATAACTTGGACGTGTCTGATCTACATTTGTAGATACTTTATAGGAAAGGCTACATCAGATGGAGACTACTTCCAACTTTTTACATTGTTCACTTATGAAGAAAATTTGCCCCACTCAATTAAAAAGATAGTATTGTTTCTATCCATTAAATCAGTTCATTAAGATAAACATCCAGGAAATAGGGACTTACTTCACATTCCCCCCCAAAAAGTTGCCATTGGTTCACAATTCTATCATGCAAGGAATAATGAAATTTCTTGCTAGAAGAACGAAGGCTGAGTTGATTTCCTTTTCCAGGATGTCAGTACAAGATATTTTTATTCTATTTGAACCAGATTTATAAAAATGTTTATAATGAGTTCTGCTGTAAAAATCTCTTTTACTTCTTCATTTAATCCCTGTTAGATCAGAGTAACAAAAGAAAGATTAATTCCAACATCAGGAAAAAATTTATAGCTGCAACACAATGTCACATTCTTCTATTAGGACTTAAATTTGTAATTTCTTAGAGTTGGTAAGATATCTAATAATGTTTAAATGCTCCTGTTATTTTCTAATTCAGGAAAATTTACATTTGGTCATTTTTTCAAACCAGATTTTCTGGAATTTATAATCATCCTGTCCTAATTGGTGGTAATACCCAGCCATCCTCTACCCACAGTGAGATTTAGCTAGCTCATACATATATCTCTATGTGTTAAAATCTTGAACTTACACAGCTGCTACTCAGCCTGCAATACTCGTAACTAATCCTTTGCCTTTGATAATATTCAGAAATTTAAGGAGTTGTAAAACAAAAAAGAAAATTAATATTTATTTTGGAATCCCTATTTGTCACTCTATGTCCCTTTCGAATAACTAAGCAATCAGATAAAGTTGTTGAAATCTGGTGCCCTAGAACTTGTGATGTACTGTTCCTCTTGTGGATTATTACTTCTGAGATTTCTTCAGAAGTATTAAGAAAGCACTCCTAGTTCATCCACCTACTATATTCCAAAACAGTGAAAACTTAGAAGCAAATATAAAATATATATTAGTAGAAAGAAAATTGAATTCTTTTATTTTACACTGTGCTCAAGATGTATTCATTAAAAACAATATAATGGGCAATACCACATCAAAGAAAATTCGTCACTTGTACAGGATGATATTTTTGCTAGGAACTGATACTTGTTGCATCTTCCATAAAAAGTGCTATTGATTCACTTTTAATATAGCTCTTGAAACGTTAGAATGATCTCAAAAAGTATTGACTTTCATTATTTCTTAGCTCAGATAATACATATTATGAATCAGAAATGCATTTTCTCTAGACTGGCTGTGCTACTCCTAGCAATGTGAGTTTCTCAGAAACTGTACCCAGTGTGTTTGTGATATTGTAGTGGATGAAGATTTTGGATTTTTACTGGTTGAGGAATAGGATAATTTTACGCTTCCTGAGTTGCTACTCATCATTACCTCATAACTTGTGTCAAATTTATAATTCATTAACAATCATAGTCTTCACAGCTTAGCTAGCAATTTCTTAACTTTACCATACTTCTACAAATCATGTTATTCAATAGATTCTTCACTTCTCTGTTCTTGCTTTTTATTTTTTAATAATTAAAACGGGACAGCAGTTCAGGTACAGTCCAGAGTGGGAACAGACTTTTGTACTACTAGTAATAACAACATCTCACCATTCCTGTTTCCCACTACTCCGAGCTTAATAATGTTTTAAGTGTTATTGAATCTCAAAACATCTAGCAATACTTTCTAGTTCTATAGGATAGTGGGAGGTAGCAAAATTAGTCTAAAAGTTATCACAAATATCTTGGCAGTATGCAGGATGAAAGGAAGACTGTATCTCTGGCCAGGGCAGCCTTGTATGATCTGCCTTAACTTCCCCTGTTTCCATGTTGGATGATATGCAAATTTCAGCCTACCTCAAAAATCCACATTTCCAGCTTTAGCAGCCATGAAAGCTACCCACTAGGACTCTCCCCTGGCATTCGAAGGCTACAAAACTCAGTGTACCTTGGAAGTGGAAGGTACGAGCTAGCAGACAGGAGTCCAAGGGATCAAAATTTGTCACTGCTCAGAATTGTGGTTTGCACCATATTCATCTCACTTTAGTTCTCCAACCAGATACTGTTCCATGGCAATTGAGGCTTCCTTCAGCATGGTGTCAGCAGTGTCATTTTTGATTATTAAAGAGTCTTTTGCTTTCACCATTGTTTTCACTTTTCTTGTCTTTGTCACTTCATTTACCTTGTCTCCTTTGTGGTGTTATCTTTTTATCTGAAAATTTGATTTCCCCTGGGATGGTTTCTTTTTGAGATTGAAAGGAAACATGAGGTCATCAAACTGATATTTTATTTTCCCTTCATTGCACGTCCTCTATATTTTATCTTGTTTTTATTTTAAATTATTTTTTCTGTATTTTTATGACATGTCTGAAATCTTTGTACATTTTTTGCTCAGTTGCATATAAATGATCATTTGTTTGTACCACTGTATTGTATTCTACTTTTCTAAGAATAAATAAAGTTTTTTTGGGGAAAATAAATCATGCAAACACTGGCAAAATAATGCATTTTAATGCCATCTAGAAATTCAGTTTCAAAGTAGCTTTGAATATAATAAACTGAGAAACTTCATTTAACTAGCATTTTTAAATCAGCGAAATGGTATTAGTAATCAGTCATCCCAGAATGCAAAGTTTAATGTTGCTTGGTGATGAAGCATAAGCTGGAAGAATCAGTTAAAAAAAAAAAAAAGGAAGATACACTATATACATTGCCTTGTACAGAGACTGATAATAGCTGGAAGAGCATCTTAACTAACTCAATGTTGGCTTTTTAGATTAGTGAAGAAACAAAATTTTCTCCTTAGATGTCCCTACTAGTGAAGCAGATATTCTGTAATAGCTGGTCACAGAGTCCAATGAGATCAATCAACTCCTGCGATTGATCACCATAGATTTAGGTCAAGGCTCTAACGGATTTAAAAGTGACGTGTCATCCCTGTGATTAATGACACTGGGCCCAGGCTTCTGCTACCCAAAGCAGCGTTGAAGCATTCAAGTTTGGTTTCAGCATATTTCCCTAGCTGCAAGAAAGGGATTTTTGTGTTTGGTTTAATTTTTCACTCAGTCGTGTAAAAATACTCTGCTAATGGGATTCTTAGGGATATAACCTGGATTTACTTGGCATGAACCTTAGTGGAGGAAAGAAAAAATTTAACAGAAATAAGCTTAAAAAATGGATGTTGCCATGCAGGGAAGTTAGAAAGAAACAAGCAGTTTAAAGTTCCAGTTTGGAATGAATTTATGTATTTACTTAAGTTGCATTACATCACCTGTCACAGAGAACTTCTGTGGCTACTCATGTGCTTAGCACGAGCTTATGTATTTTACTGAATTGGAGCCTTAATGTGTCAGATTCTTTTAGATTCTTCACACAGTGTTTACAGAGCTAATGTTTGTATATTTTATCTCAGCCTAAAGTAGTACTTTAAAGTTGTTTTTTTGAGGAGGGGGTTGAATGTTCAGTAACAACAAAATCAGTAAAATCTTAAAATAAAAAAAGTAAAATATGACTGTTTTCTCAACATTTATTTTACATTTTTTGTGGTTTGTGAAGTGTCTTAGCCCTTGATCTAACTAAGCATTTAAACACGTACATAAAATTTTATTGAATAAGAGCTTGATCCTGATCTCACCCAGGTTGCCAGAACAGTTCCATTCATTTTAGCAACGTAGAGCCAAACTACAGTTGCTTTGAAACCAACATGCATAAAGCATTAACTGGAAGTTACATGTGTATTGAAGTGATTTGCTGAAGGTTGAATTTACTATAGAGTAGTATTAGCAAGCAATTTATGAATCTATTTATCCATTAAATTTAAATAATTTTATAATACCTGAAATAACCTTTGCTCAATATTAGCAATATGAAGGAATCACAGGTGCTATTGTGGAAAAGGAATCACAGGTAGTATATTGTGAAAAATATTTATTAAAAAAATTATTTGATGATTAGGTTATGATTTTCGGTAAGTTCAGAACCGTATTTGTAAGCACATGTATAGAAGAGACCTTCTTGGACTTACTGAAGATAACAAGTGTCAAATACTTCTTCAGAAGTATTCAATATCCAAGAGTTCTCTTCTGGGAAACTGGTGGCTGGATTTTTATTATGCTGAGCTATTTTAATGATTTGACTGTCCATGTATTTTCTCATGTCAAGATACGAGCTTGGGCATTTTCCAAAATATAGCCCTGAATGAGAGTGCAGAAACCTTTTCAAAATTCAGTTTTTAATTAAGACATTTGTGGCTAATAGTCAAGAGTAGGAGTTTCCTAAGCTTTCACATAGCTGGAGGAGAGAGGAGAGGCTTTGCAAGGCAACTATCGGTGGACGTCAAACAGGTTCTAGAAGCAACTCCTTCTGTCTCATGTACCAAATCTGTCTTGTACTCCTGGAAATAATAGGAAAAATCTGAAACTCTTGAGGTTTAGATTTGACTAGGCTGGAACGGTGAAGAAGGATGATGACAGAACAATCTGTTAATGCCTGATGCTCCAGTAGAGTAAATCAGACTGTTAAAGGGTAGCAGTGCTTTGCTTTGAGCTTGATAGAGTGAAAAATCACATCCCTTATGGATTAGATAATGATTTAGGATTTAAAAGCTGTGTAAAGTAATGTAAAGAATCCATTAGTTTTTAGTGAGTTTTGGAACAGAACCATCATGAATTTAATCTTTACTTCATAAAAGAGTAATCTGTCTCCTCACAGGATCATTTTAGATGTAGTTGAATTCTGAAAGCACCACCCTCTTCAGGGCCATCCTCTTTGGATGCAGTGGCTAGAATTTGCTATTTCAAACCAGAAATACAAGAAGTAATAAGTATATGTTTGTTAAAAAGAGTGACATATTAATTACATAATTAGCCTCAATATCTTGATCCTTTTTTTTCTCCCCACGTCTTCTTTTCCCTTTCTATCTGGAGATGGCCACTGGTGTGAGGTTGGGCCTCAGAAGCATGGTGAGAATTTATAATAAACATACAGATAATTGGTTTGTTGTTGAAAATGCCTGCACAGATGAATCCTTGCTAGTTCTCTTCTCATCTTTACCTCTTCCTGGAACTCCCCTTGAACCCAACTTTTGTGTTGTTGGAAATGCCTGCAACTACGATATATGCAGTGTGTGCACTACAGGTTTCTCCATGTGCAAGTTCTCCTTTCTCCTAAAAGAGTTCCTTTACAGAGACATTGGCATGCTTATCAACCAGCACTCACTCCATACTGCAT